GGATAATTCTTCGTCGGAACGACGAAGAATCGAAACATATCATAAGCCAGGGTCTGTTACTTTGGTCGGAGCAATTGATCTGCTAATTTCGACTTTCTCTGTTTCCTGACTCATCACCTTGATCCAGTCGCTGCTTATAGATCAAGAAAGGCTGAAAACCAAAGATTTTGAGACTGAAAACATTAGGAGCATCAGCAGGAGCAAATGTGCTGAAACCGTCGCCGGTACTTTTCCAGCCCAGAATCCACGCTAAGCCGATATCCAGGAATGAAACATACTATAAACTGAAATTTTGTAATTTGAGTCTGAGGTGTATGCGGGATGAATTACTCAAAATCGGTAAAGCTGTGACGAAAAGTTGGAAGGTATTACGGGCGATGAACTGCTGAAACCAGCACGTATGAATTGATTAGTTTTCTGATCACTTGCACCATCATGTTTACATTGTATTTCGATAACCAAAGAAGTTACAGAACGAAATTTTGGGTGTAGTTTGCAAAAACTGTTACTGTATCCTCGGGTCGAAATTCAAGTCGATTTTACTGTTTTTTTTTTTTGCAGGCTTTGGTTCGGACATGCATATAGGGAAGAAATCTGCTTCCGAACCTTTATCGCCTTCTATCTTGAGACGTCATTTTCAGATAGGAGCTTACAGCTGAAGTCCAGAACAGGCAAGGCCAGAAATTAGTGCTTTTATGCTAGACCAAAAAATTATGGTAACATAGCAATGTTAGATCCAATCTTTCCCTAACTGGTCCTTCCACCGACTGTCACAGAGCAGCATGGTTGCGCCGGTCCTTTGATGTGAGGTGTTATTTTTTAAAAAAGCGAAATTGATTTCACTCGATTTGAAGCTTTTGATCACGGATCAGCTGTTAAATGGCTGTTGTTGTTGTTGTTGTTGTTGTTGCTGCTGCTGTTATTGGGCATTTTTTGCACTAAAGAACACCTCTGAATCAGTATTTCTGGTTTTGTGGGAATTTTCAGGCTTCTTCCTACGTTTCGCTGCAAAAAATTTTATCAGGATATTACACGCTGTTATGTTTAATAACAACACCAGTCCAGTACTACTTCTATGATTGATTTATTCGAAAAGCCGTCGCCGCCGCTGTCGCAGCCTCTGCTAGCTCCTGGCAAATAATATTTCTGTTCGGAGGCTAATGTTTTGCTCGTTATTACGCACTACTGTGTTAGCCGTCCTGAAGATGGTGCAACTCTTCCCGGAGAATGAGACACGGGCAAAGCTTTTCCGCAGAAGTCTCATTGGAATTTCCTGAATTTTCTGGGCCTCTTTCCTGGCTTGTTTCAGTCTCGGATGAAGCATCAGTGACTTTTACTCAGTAATCATTGTTTCCCTCGCTGCTGCTTATGGCTAAACTTGTCGTATGACTGGCCAAAACAACGTCAGCTTCGAAATCAGCACGAGCAGCACCATCACCATCAGCAGCAATCCAGACCGAATGCTCAAAGATGAGTTTTGGTATTCAGAAGAAGCCATTGCCGACCATCATCGCCTTCCGATGTCATAACAGTTTCACCGTTTTTATGCTCATTAGCTCCATTCTGATTGCGCAGTTGGTATCAGTCGTGTTCGGGCAGTTTACGGATATTCCGGGAAATAGCAACAGCGGCATAACTCTTTCCATGATCAACGGTCATCAGCTGCCTTTCAATATCCTAGTTGTTTTGCCCGAAAACGAATCAAACAATGACAAATTCGGGATCACAATGCCAAAAGCGCGTCCAGTAATTGAAATTAGTGTCATGGATGCAATACGATCTGGAAAAATTGGTTCAGATTTTGTTAATTTTACATATCATGACTCGAGATTTTGGGCAAATGCAAATTTGGCAGAACGTTACGCAACTCTTGGTGTTGTGAATGCATTTTGCGCTCGACGTCTGGATGCAATCCTTGGCTTTGCGGATAGCTATAGCTTAGCGACGATTTCCAAGATAACAGCTGCATTTGGTTATGGTGTCCCAGTGATTACCACTGCGGGAATGGTTTCAATGCTTGGTGACCGGCAGACATTTCCGTTCTTGACACGGATGCAGGGAAGTTATCGACAGATGGCCGATAGTATGTACAAGCTGATTGCTTATCGGGAAGAAGAATTCGAAGATGATAATTCCGGTGCCGCACCTGGCGCACATCGTTCACCGGTACATGAATCACAGCTTTCGCTTGGGTATCGGAATCTGGTACTAATGTATCACGATAAACGTCGTGCGATAAATCGACCACGCTTGGCGGACGGCGAAACAACGGTTGCCGAAACTGTTTCGAGCCACTGCTATTTTACGCTTTATGCTATTAAAAATTTTTTCACGGAAAAAAGCGCCTTTTTCAAGGAAGCCTGGAAAATTCAGACACCGTCGTTGGCATTCGATGAGGAGATTGAGCGGACACCAGGCGAAATCGAAAGTTGGCTCAAAATTGTCTCCGAACTGGCGAATGGTTAGTTCCATTCATATTTTTTTAAAAATTTTTATAATTTTAATTTGAAGCTT